TTTTTTTTTTTGAGACAGAGTCTCACTCTGTCACCAGGCTGGAGTGCAGTGGTGCAATCTCAGCTCACTGCAGCCTCTGCCTCCTGGGTTCAAGCAACTCCCCTGCTTCAGCCTCTCAAGTAACTGGGACTACAGGTGTGTACCACCACACCTAGCTAATTTTTTGTATTTTAGTAGAGATGAGGTTTCACCATGTTGGCCAGGATGGTCTTGATCTGACCTCATGATCTGCCCGCCTCAGCCTCTCCAAGTGCTGGGATTACAGGTGTGAGCCACCGCATCCGGCCCAGAAGCTGTGTTTTTTAAGTTTACATAACATGCATAATGATTTTATTTTGATGTCAAATATGGTATTAATCTGTGAGAACAAAATTTTTTTGTCTCAATTTTCTCATGACAAGCACAAAAACCAAACTATATATGCCAGCTTTGGGAAGGCTGTATGTATTGGTGCTAAACAAAATGATATTGTAAAGACTAATATTTTTAAGGATTTATTTATTATTCATGTGTTTGTTCTGAGCTAGATCCCAGCAGGTGGAACAGATTGCTCTCTTCCAATGATCTGGGCTCAGAAGACAAACACACCTGCTGATGTCTTCATTGTATTCACTGATAACGAGACCTTTGCTGGAAGTGTCCATCCTGCTATTGCTCTGAGGGACTATCGAAAGGTAAAACAAATTCTAATATGGTTCCTCACCCAAATAATATTTTAATACTTGGTTGGTTTTTGTTTTGAGACAGGACCTCGCTCTGTTGCTGAGGCTGGAGTGCGGTGGCTCAGTCATAGCTCACTGCAACATCAATCTCCCAGGCTCAAGTGATTCTTCCACCACAGCTTCCCAAGTAGCTAGGACTGCAGGAGCATGCCATCACATCTAGCTAAATTTTTGTAGAGATGGGGTTTCACCATGTTGCCTGGGCTGGTCTCAAACTCCTGGGCTCAAGCGATTCTCCAACCTCAGCTTCGCAAAGTGCTGGGATTACCAGCATCAGCTACCACACCTGGCCATACTTGATTCTTACTCACTTATGTTTTTCAAAAAATGTTACTGCAAGTAGTTCTGTATCTCGTATAGGAGCCAGTGTCTGTTATAGACTCAGCAGTACTTAAAATAAGTTTTGGTTACACATATATAATTTATTTTAACCAGTTTCCCTTGCTAAACATTACTAAGAATATCCTTTGCAGACAGTATTTTTTGGTAATAACCAGAATATTTGTTTTATCTTAACTGTAAGTTTTTAAAAATAATTCAGTGTACTTTTTGAAAAATTCAAAGTATTGTTAATGAGTTTTGCAAAAGGGCAAAAGGATTACATAAAATTAAGGCTATAATCTATGCTCTACGTTTTATGGACATATCTGTGTTCTAATCAGTATCCTCCAGTTGGGCTTTCTGAAATGACTTAAATCTTCAACTCTTCAATATGGGTAGCCACTAGTCACATAGGACTTTTGAGCCCTTAAAATATGGCTAGTGTGACTAGAAGTAGAAATAGAACTTGTTGACGGTTCTCAAAGTGTGGTTTCCCTACTAGCAGTCTTAGCATCACCTGTGACCTTATTAGAAATGCAAATTCCTGGGACCCATCAGAGACCTGCTGAATCAGAAACTCTGAGGCTGGGACTGTGTTTTAACAAGCCCTCCAGAGGATTCTGATGCAGGCTTAAGTTTGAAAGCTACAAGTGAAGCAATCGATTTTTTTTTTAAGAGATGGGGTCTCCATCATTGAGGCTGGAGTGCAGTGGTGTTATCATAGTAGCTTACTGTAACTTGAAATCCTGGGCTCAAACAATTCTTCTTGGCCTCCAAAAGCACTGAGATTACATCCATGAGGAACTGCCCAATAAGGATAGAATGTAAAGACTGTCTGATTGTGCATCCCGAGTCTTTCTCTTACTCTGTGTGGACCTGAGCAAATTATTTAATTGATCTGCATCATAATAAGGTAATAGAACTTACCTCTTAGAGTTGTTTTAACAATCGTTAGATGTATTATTTAAAGAGTTCATTGTAGCTTCTTACGTAGTATACATTCAGTGATAGTTTTTCTCAAAACTCCATTATTTTAACCTTAAATATAGCTGTGGAGGACAAGTTCTTAACGTGGTATATGCATATATCACACATATCAAAGTAGTCATCAGCCAAAAGTTGATAATCCCAGAGAGATACTGCCTTATATTTATATATATTCATATACTCTGTCCCAGCATTTGATATGCTGATAAAAATGTCTGGCATCCTTAATACCCTGTCAGGTTTTTTAAGTACAAAGTGCCTAGGCTGCTCAGTAATGTACTCTGTAGCATATAGAATAAGTAAAGTCGTTGATGAGAGAAGTAGAAATTTCAGGCAGATTCTTATATAATTTTTTTGTCCATTCTTTTAAAACTCCCATATTCTAGCCTAAAAGATTGCCCCCCCCCCCAAAAAAAAATGACTTTTTAATTAAAAACCTGTGGTAGAGAAATGTTAAAGTGTTTTGATTTTGGAAGTATTTTGCTTTTCCTTACATATATGTTTTTAATATGTATTTCGATCTTTTCTACAGAAAATGGATATTCCAGCTAAATTGATTGTTTGTGGAATGACATCAAATGGTTTTACCATTGCAGACCCAGATGATAGAGGCATGTTGGATATGTGTGGCTTTGATACGGGAGCTCTGGATGTAATTCGAAATTTCACGTTAGATGTGATTTAACCATAAGGAGCAGCACAAACCAGAGATCCATTGCCATCAGTGATCTCACTAAAAATATACAGCTACTTCCTGGCAAATCCCCATCAGATGAATGATGATGGTATAGTATGTGCTTAATGGAAAGTTACCTTTCCAAAAAAAAAGAACGAAAAATAAGGTGGGCCAAAGGTCTATCTACTAAACTAGCTCTTGGGGAAATAGCTTCAGGATACTGTAGTTTCTTCTATCTAATAGAGAACTTTTTATTAATAGAAAATGTAAAATAGTTTTCCTTTGTTAAATAATACATGTGTACTTAAAAGAGGTAAGAGCAAAAAGTGTAATTCCACATCATGTCACTTGTTTCAAAGTGCTTAATGTTTTCTTACATGTTTTCATTGGGAAAGGACAGCTTTGATAATGTCCAAATACTCTGAAATGCACTAGACCATGTAACTGTGATGGAATGTGAAACTCATCTGTAACTTTTATACAAAGGGGGTAAAAAAAAAAACTAAGACATTTGGTTAAATTATGAATGAGTTTTACAAATTCCTTTCAGAGTTTTCTGAGGTAACAAATAACAGCTTTCTTATTCAATGAAAAAGATATTTTATTTCTGATATTTTATTTACACTTGTAGAATATGTTACCATTAATCAGAAACATCATGGCAACCCCTAAGAATAGACTAAAGTTTGTGTTAGCTGAATTCCCCTAAGAATAGACTAAAGTTTGTGTTAGCTGAGGAATTCTATTTGGTTCTATTTGGTTTGCTTTTTTTTTTTTTTTTTTTTTTTGGCTTTGTTATATTTTATTGCTGCAAGGGGTGTGACTTGATAATGCTTTTCCTCTGAATTATAATAACATAGCCAGATGTAGTCTCACACTTTTTTTTATAAACTTAAGTGAAAATAATATAAAATGTTTCAAGCGCTTAACTCCCTCATTCACAAAGTATAGCAATTAAAATCTCAACTATAACCAGATTAGCTTTTTCCTTATTTTTAAAATAAAAATTGTTTAAATTAGTTTTAACTAGTTTTTAGTCAATATTTTTACATTGTATACTTGGCCTCTCTGCCCATTATTCATTTTGTGGCAAAATATTCTTTGATAATGTAAACAAATAATAAAGCAATCTAGGTCCATTAGATTTGAAAGACAATTTTTGAGTAGCATATTACCAGCTAACCAGTCTCTAGGAATTTTGTTTTAAATATTATTTGTATGTATTAAACTTTTCATTACACTAGAGTGCATTATTTTCTTGAGAAAGTATCCTTCATTGTAAGGTTTAACATTAAAATAATCTGTTGAAATCCCATTATCTTTGCTCATAATTTTATTATGGTCGTCTAAGATAGTTTACACATGAAACTTGTCTGCATACTCGTTCGCTAAATACTAGTTGTAGATTTACTGAGGGTTTGTAAGATCCTTCAGGCTGTTTTGGGAAAGTTAAACTGTAGTTAATGTAAATTATAGCCTTTTAGGTGCTTGGGGGTAGAGGTTTTATGTTTTTTGGGACAGGGAATTTAGTAGTATGAGGATTTCTGTACATATTTTCTTCCATTTTATGTGAAATTTGGGCTCTGAGAATAAGAAAATGTTCCTTTCAAATTTATTTGATATATTAATGCTGGTTCTGATACGTACCCATTCCTTCAAGATGACTGGTAGCAGTTGTTAAGAGTGATTTGCCTGAGATATTTTTGGTCAGCAAAGCTCATAGCACCCCCATCCCCACTCAGATATGCATTGCTTCTGATATCGTTCATGTTTTTAACCCTCTGTCAAGCATTGAACTGAACATATTAGCTACTTTTGATACATTAAAATATTATGTTCAGATTGAATTTAAAGTTTAAAGAATCTAACAGGATTATATAATAGTTCTTGAATTCTTTTAAACTCAAGATCTTAAAAATTATAACATGATGATTTTATTTCTAATAGAAATGTTATAGTACAAAAATATATTACCTTCAGTTAAATATAGCACAAAAATGTATTACCTATTTCCATAATGCTTTTAGACAAATATATCTATGAGTTAATGTTAAATCCATCAAGGATACAAGACTAGATGCATATGACCTTTTTGAAATATTTAGGTAGGTCTAATTAAATGGACTGTGGTAACATTTAAGAAAGAAAAAGTAGGAGAAGCTACCACAGAAGGTAACTTTTCAAATCATGCACATTAGAGCTGAAAGAAACATTAAAACCTAAAAGCTAATTTTTAAATTTTTGTTAGAGAGCTGAGGTCCAACACAGAGAGTGATTCTAGAAATCTTGGTCTCTTCATTTCTATGCCAGAATTTATTTCCCCACAACATGGGAACACATAGTCTCAGAAGAGTAAAGGATAAAATAGAATTTTTTAAGACTTTCACCTTATTTGGTTATTAGGAAATAGTGTATATATATGATTGCTTTAGGAGTAGACAAATAGAATGGGAACATGTATAATTTTGTAATTCATAGTAATCCTCAAGCCCAATTAACCTGTGTTGCTATATATATCTACATAGAGAAAAAAATAAAAACTTTACCTCATTATGAATAGAATGTACTGATGTGATAAACAAGTTTTTTATTTCCTGAGTTCTACTTTTAGGATTACTGTTAAATTAATATTTGGGAAAATACTGCTTTAAAAAAAAAAACCCTACAAGAATAAACAAACTTAATTTCCTAGGTAATATGTAAATAGTTCCAGGATATAGTTGTAATTAGCAAAACAAACTAATCTTATAGTCCCACCCTTTATTAGTTGAAAGTTCTTGGAAATTCCATTTATTAATACTTATATTATTTAGTACCTATTTTATGAGAGTGTTAGTAAGGTGAGATGCCAGTGAATGGAATTTAGCGTTACCCTTTGGAAACTCCTTTGCTTTTATCTAACTTACTGTGTGACTGTAGACAACCAATTTAACCTAAGTGATTCCATTTTTTTATCTTTAAAAAGTAACATATCTGTGCTTAGATCATAGAATAATCAGTGATTTAATATTTATATAAAAATCAAAACTGGGAAGAGGGCTCGCAATACAAGTTAGAATTCTTTTTTCTTTTTTTTAGTTTAAAACATTCCTGTTAATATGTGTTTTGAAAGATATGTTTTAGAAAAATAGCTCAATAGGCCCAATAATTTTTTAAAACATTCCTGTTCAGGGTGGAAAAATTTAGAAGGAAAATTTTCACAGCTAAAGTATTACCCAAGAAGTCATTATTCTCTATTGAAGAAAGAGAAAAAATATATTTCAAGTCTAAGATCTTCTTGGATAGAACTAGAAAAACAAGTTCATACTCTAAGTGAGAAAATGCTGTTTACAAACTTTTTTTTATTTGAGACAGGCTCACTCTGTCACCCAGACTGGAGTGGCATGATCACAGCTCACTGCAGCCTTGACCTCCCGTTTGCACTATCATGCTGGCTTTTTTTTTTTTTTTTTTTTTTTTTGAGACAGGCTCA